CCCCCCCACACACACCAAACACACAAAGTAAGCCTTTCTCCATCCCTAATGAAAAGCTGCCACTATGGGGCTGAGTACACAGCTCAGTGGTAGTGTACTGCCTAGCACGTATAAGACCATAGGTTTGACTCCCAGCACCACACATAAAACTTACTACAGTGACTCTTAAAATTCATGGGGGAAAGCCTTTCACGTAGCAGCCATTGACCTGACGTTGACTCACCTGCTTTCATAAAAAGCTTTCAGTGGGTTCTTATTTGATGTCCGACCTATAAAAGCCAACCACACACAATAATCAATGGACTGGCAGCATAGACTTTAAAAATACTTTCATATTTCTTTTAAGCTGATAGTTGAAAACATTAAAGTTTGAAAGCTGAAAAATAAATCCTAGCACTTTTACAGTTCTAGATGCTTTTAACTTCAAGGTGTCAGCAAACTGCATGATCGTGTGAGACACCCCGTTATATATGATCACCAGTAAGATGCCAGCAACACACAAACATGGACCAGGGAGCACCTGTCTTCAAGGAGCTCACAATCTTAGAATTGCATTATGCTGGATGATGAGAGCTGCTGGAAAACAGAACTGCTCAGCTCAGCTGTACAGAGACTAAATACCAAAGGGAAAAACAACAACAGAAGAAAGACTTGCATGCTGGTAAGAATCAGAGAAAGTAAGGAAAGAAAGCAAGGGCAGACATGAGTAACGGTGAGTGAGACTCGAAATTCCTAATCTGCACAGCTAATTTCTTACACAGACAGAAGGATGATAAATAGATGATAGCCAGTGAGGATGGATGGATGGACAGACAGATAGTGAGGATAGATGGATGGATAGATCACAGATAGATAGATAGATGAGGGTGCATATCTAGATGGATGGATGGATGGATAGTGAAGATAGAAGATAGATAGTGAAGATGGATGGATGGACGGACGGACGAACAGACAACGGTATGTGTTCAGCATGCCACATAATTAGCTGCAAAGTTGGTGCAAAAGCATCAAGCAATAGTAAAGAGCCTTTTCTTAGGAAATTAATTAAAAAGCAAATTTCATTTAAAAACTTATCAGACAGTGCAGGAAGGGGTATTTTTCTACAGAACAAATAAAAACTTGATTACTGTCTTTCAAATAAACAAATCACTTTCAGTTACCTAGCTGAGCATAGCACTACCATAACTAGGCGGGCAGAAACAAAGTGCTCAAGAGACTTCACCAAGGTAGCATAGCACAGTACAAACCATCTGAGAATTGGCATGGTCCTCCATTAATCCAAGAAATCCACTTTCAAAAGTTTTAAAGGGAATTCGACTGTAACCAAAAGAATCTTAGGTGAAATACCTTGCAGGTCTTCTATTTGTTTTTGTAACTTTACATGCTGCTGAATTAGATCCTTGATTCCCTCAGGGTCATTTTTACAGAGTTTTTGAGCTTTTATGTTTGCTTGCAGGGCCCAGTCATATTCCCCCAGCATACAAAGAGCATCACAATAACGATAATGACCCTGTTCCAAAAAGATAAATTTAATTTTTTCTCAAAAAATATGCTTAGGTTAAAGAAGATAGATAAGGAAAAATATTTTGGTTGAAATGGATTACTTTAGGCCTATCAATGAAAAAAAATTAAAATACTAATATCCCAGAAAATAAAATGGCTAATGAGCTAAGTAAAAAGTTATAAATAAGCAAATAATTTTCTAATAATTAACCTAAAACCAGTATTTTAAAGTTTTTGAACCCCCAGGAAATAATTTTAACTTTTGTTATAGTTTACTATTAAGGAATAAAACAATTATTTTAGCTAAATAAAGAAGTCATTGGTTATAAGTAAACAATTTTTTCAACGTATTTGAGTGTAATAAGTCTCTAAGTCATGACATCCCTACACTCTGGAAGTCAAAGGTTCCCGGAGCTGGAAGGACCCACCAGCATTAGCATGTATGCTATTTTGCCAACACTTCCGAGAGGACAGAGACAAAGAGAATTTCGGCTGGGCTACTTCTCAGCACTGCTTCTCCCTTGGGTCAGCTTTGTTTTATCTCTAAGCACAGTTTCCAGATGAAAGAGGGGTCTGAAAGTCACAGGGTTTATTTACTCCTAATTCCAATGTCAAGGATTTTAGTTGTTACAAAAGAAAATTCCCTTCTGGCTCCAAACATTAACTTTATACTCTAGAATGCTAATAGAACTAACGCTCTCTCTGAGCTACCCACACACCAAACTCCCATGTTAGCAACTAACCTACTAGAAGACGATTTAGCATCAAACAAGGCTGGAATCCGCAGCATGTCACTCAAACAAAGCAAAGAACCTGATTCATGACACCTGGTCCAGGATCTCCTTATTTACAATTTATCTTATAGAGAACACTCTTTTTAACAAGAATCCAAAGGAAAACAGAATCCAAAAATAAAAAAGCATCAATTTTCATTAACAGAAGTCAGTGGCGTGTGTGTGCAGATTCTCTGTTGTGTCCTTGGGACCTGTACGTGAGTTCTAAAGAAGTTTTAGCCAGACTGTCTAGTCTTAGATTGAAGACACCGATTCATATGGCACCTCATTAAACACTGTTTGTCCCTAAGGGTGGACGCTCTATTTCTTGACAGCTAAGATCCCTCAGATACACTACAAGGTAAAAGTCCTACCTCTAGACATCGATCAAGTTTAGACAAGCACTTTAAAGAATGAGACAGGCTGGCACAAGAAAAGGCAGGCCACAGGCTAACCCTCCAGGGAGTGCGACTCACCACTGCCCCCTACCTCCACTACTCTCACCAGCTGGTGGGTCCTTTTCCCAAGATCCTCTAAGACTCGGCGCAACTCATGATGACTGACAAGGGCTTCTCAGACGTTCTGCTGAAGTTGTTTGAATTAAGATTAGATTAAAATGATCTCTTTCTTGAAACCAGTTACTAAGGTTCTGTTCTGCCTTTGAGCCTCTGGTTATTTATGACATTAAGAAGACAGCCCCCAAGGTTTGTCGATCTCCCATGCCTTCAACTAGAGGCCATCATTTCTAACTCTTCTGTCACAGCAGAACGGACCGTCAATTCTAGTATTCTACCCTGACAATACAGTGGAGTGAAGGCATGGCTGTGATCCAGGACACTGTGATTAACCTACAGGAGGGCGAGCATCTACCCAATCAGGACCACCTTAGGGTCCCCTCAGATGAACTACACAGAAGTTTTGAAGGCTCTCACTACATGGTAAAAGCCTGTGAAATCAAGGAGCCTAGACACCAGTTTATACTTTCAGCTAAGATGGAATAACAAGAGAGAAAAAGGAGACCAATGGGCAGGGAATAACAGCAACTTGAGGTTGTAAGGCAGGAGCCTAGAGAGAGAATTACAGAATGTCTTCCTTGGCAGGTCATAGGTTAGGGAGCATTAAGTACTCGGGAAAGTTTTGACTCAGTGAGAGAAAAAAAAAAAAAAAAAGCAAGTTTTAATAGTCCTAAAAAATTTTAAGAGATCTTTGGAAAACTAATATGATCATAGGTTTTAGTACTAAGAATTCAATCACTCACTTATTTTACAAATATTTATTAAATACTCACCAAATGAAAGTTTTGGTGATTAACAAAGATTCTACTTCAAGCAAGAGCGGCTCACTGTGAAAACGGTGAGAGACTGAGCTCCCTCACACAGCTGCAACACATAATGTGGGGCAAGTGTGCCCAAGTGTGTGTGCGTGTGTGTACACACAGGTCCACACATGCTATAGCACACCTGTGGAGACCAGCGGACTACCTTCAGGAGTCAGTTATACCCTTCAACGATATGAACTCAAGTCATCAGGCTTGCATGGCAAGTGTCTTTACCTGATGGTCCACTTCAGTTGCCCTAAAACCTTATTTAAAATAATTTTATGATTGAGGAAAACAGAGACTAATATAACATACACAGAGACTATGCTTTAGCAGGTTATATGTATTTCAGATTCTCTTTTATTTAATAGAACTACAGACATAGTTACAATCTCCCTGGTAACTTGATCATTTCCTTTCCCTTTCCTACCCAGAAGCAAAGACTATCAAGAGTTTCTGCTATGCTATGCTTGCTTTTATTCTTTTCACTTAATACTGCTTTTAAAATCCATAAATGTGGATAAGCCAGTCAACTTGCTTCCAACACAATTCTTACCTGACAATTGATTCACTAAGTCAGAAACGGTAAAAGCACCAACTCCTGTCACTACAGTCGGCTGTGGCTATGTGGTTCTTCACTCTAACCAGTCTACAGCTGAATCTTTAATTCAGTCTCAAGACAGTTGGGCTCTAGAGTGGATCACAGTACCTTTGCCTTAGAATGTTCCTTCACTAGACACACGTCTGTTTTTAAAAAGAATGATATGTGCTAAAGGGGAGAAAGGCAGGAAAGAGGAGTCTAGGGCATACCTAGAAGGTCAGGATGGCACTCTGTGTGACCGGGAAACAGCTGACTAAGGGGCCGAAAGAAGAATGACCAGCAATAAAATGGCTAATCAATGCTGAAGGAAAGCATCCAAGGCAGAGGAGAAACAAGGAAAGTGAAATGGGTCCTACACACTCGAGGAAACAGGAGGAGGCCAAAAGGTGAAGACAGTGACTCAGAGACAACAGACAGACTGAGGTGGCAAGGGCACCACTAGACAGCAGGGCAGCGAAGCTGTGGCCTTCTGCAGAGGTCAGCAATCTGGGCCACTCAGGAGAAAGCTGGGAAGTTCAAGGACAGCCAGGCCAACCTAACGAAATCGTCTCCAAAAGGAAGAGGCAAGCTGAGTGGGGACAGAGCTCAGTGGCAGGGTACTTGTCAGTGTGTGAGCCTCTAGGTTCAATCACCACTACCTCAATCAATCAATCAGTCAATCAGTGTAAAACCAAAACGGAAAATTAAAAATGCTTCAAAGACTTTGTACATTTTACCATGTGCAGATACGCAAAAAACTTTCTAGGGTGCATGCACATGAAATAAAAACTATTAGGGTACATACACGTAGATAAGTGATTTTCTAAGGTATGTGCATATAGAACACAGTAATTATGGGGTGTGCACATCCTACTTCTCTTATAACAAGTCACATTCCCTCCAATTTACTGGATCCCTGTCACTACCCTCAGGAGCCTCAAGCTCACTCAAACACCATTACATCAGCGATGACCGTATTTGCTGGTAGCTGTGTTCCTCAGGTGCTCTGCTCTGCTCTGCTCAATTGGATTTTTCTCCATTTTTATCCCGCATAACTTATTAGAAATAGAGCAAAGTTCCTCCTATTCAAAAAGATTTTTATTATCATTTTTATTTTTTTGTATGTATGTGTTTGTGTGTACATATGTGTGTGGGGGTCTGGGAGGCCAGAAGAGGGTACGAGACCATCTGGAGCTGGAGTTACAGGCAGTTGTGAGTCACCTGACTTGGCTGCAGGAAACTGAACTCCATCCAGTCCTTTGCAAGAGTAGCAAGCACACCTCACCACAGACGTCTCTGCAGTTTTTCCTTTCTCGTTTCTACCGGCCATTCCAGATAAATGTTCTGTGAGAATGCACTCGTTTTCCTGCTCACTCTCTGATCAGGTTTCTTGCTTGCTTCCAGAGCCCTCTGCATGTGCAGTGTCTAAATGCTACCAGTTACACATGAGGCCTACCTAACAGTGACCACGCCCTTGCCTGTTAGCGCACTTGTGTCCTCACAAACTCGTGTATGACAAAGTTTTCTGCGGCTGACTTTGTGCACTGTGTCATTCAACAAAACCTGGGGCTGTAGGTGAAAGGGCATGCTTGTACTCTGTGATAAATGTGCCTAAATAAAAGTGGAATTAAAACTTGGGAGTTTTGCAACACCTTTCTAACCCTGAGGCAAAAAAAAAAGTCTCTCACTCACTCTGCTCTCTTCCACTTCCTGTCTTCCTTCCCTTCCGCCCCTTGCCCCGTTCCCCCCTTCCACTAAACAGAGGGAGGGCGTCTTCATCACTGTCCGCCTCTCACACCAAGCTCTGAACTTACAGTGAACTCAGCAGCCCATTTCCTGTCCTTGACCTCTCTAACATGACCTGGCATTTTTAGGTTTTCCCACAATGCGGTTTCCAGGGCTTGCTCACTGTACAATACAGAAGAAGCCTACCTTTGGCCAGGTGTTCTTCAAAACAATGGCCCTCTTCCCATCACTAAGTGCATTTCTGAAAAGAAGAACAAGAAATACAACATTTAAACATTCCAATCTTTTACTGTAAAAGTACTATTTATCACATATTTGTATGTTGTGAAGTTTTCAAATATAATCTAATCAAAAAATTTTAATCCATATAATAAATGTCCACTGTATAAAGTTAGAAAATGCAGAAAAATAGAACACAGGGGACAAGTCACCAATCCCATCACAAGTACCCAGGGATGAGGTTTAGTATTTCCAGACCCTTCCTTAGGTGTCTCTACAGCACCTATGCTTGACTTACTATTCGCACGATCTTCTGCACTATTTCTGCCTTTTAACAAAACAAGGCAACTCCCAAGCCTCCCAGGCAACGTCAGTTAAGCTACAATGAACACAGAGTCTACAACAGTGGTCTCCTTTCGTAATGCTGCAACCCCTTTACTGTGGGGACCCCAACCATAAAATTATTTTCATTGCTACTTTGTAACTATAATTTTCATACTATTAAATGGAATATAAAATAGCTGTGTTTTCTGATGGTCTTAGGTGACCCCTGTATAAGGGTCTGTGGGATGTCACTGGCTCTGACCCCACTCTTTCATCTGTGGAAAAGGAGTAACTCTGGTCTGGCTGCTCTGTTGAGAGACACATTAAATTAGAAACAGTCAGGCACTAAAAGATGCACACCTCAGTCTGTCTCCTGGCATCTGTGTCTTCAAGGATATCCCCAACAGCCTGATTCCCAAGTCCTTTCCACATCCATGTGGAACTCAGCATCTTGTAAAAATGTCCAAGTGCCTAAAGCACTAGTTCAGACACCCTGTTCTTTCCTGTAAGCTCACACACTCCTTCTCACTGGCCCAAGTATGTTATCTTCTCAGTGTCCTGTACTTCATCTCCCTAGTTTAAATGTCTGGTGTGAATTCACTAATTCATTCACTAATTCATCATCTCATAGTCACACGCATCAATTCGCTGTATTTCAAAAATTAAAAAGAAGAAAATGAGGTAGCATACCGTCAAACACTAATACCGGCTAAAGGTATATACCAAAATATTAAAAAGAAAAAGCAAAGTAACAAACCCGGACAGACAGACAATTGCATGAACAGAAAAAGGTGGAGGAGTGGGTGGGAGATTCTCTATAAACTGAGTTACGACAGAAGTGACAGCACAGTGCATGGGGCAGACACTTCAATAAATGGTGCGGCGCTACGGAAGACATTCAATGCCAAATGCTCCCGCATGCTCAACAACGAAACCACACTCAGGAGGCTGCAGATCTAAAAGTAACATCAACTTCTAAAAAACAAAACCCAGTCCAACTTTTAGAAGAAACACAGAACACTCTGGTGGCCTTAGAGCAGACAAAGACACACACAAAAAGTGCTCACTGGTGTAATGTAAGAAAATCAGCTTTTGAAAGAAAGCTGCCATTAGACAGGGATCAAGCAGAGGGGTTTTTTATTAGGTAAAGGGATAATAAAATGGGAAAAGGGGAGGGAGGCCAGGGCTCCAGAGACAGGAGCAGCAGGAGAGAGGAAAGATGAGGAGAAGGAGAGGGAGAGGGAGACTGTAAAAGGGAGTTTGTGTGTGGAGGCCGAGGTCAAGTCGGGAGTCAGTTCTATCCTTCTACCATGGGCAAGGGCCACCCACGGAACCATATCATCACCCCTACAATAACAGCTTTTGGAGACAAGAAAACACAGTAAGTAGTGGAAGGGCAACCCACAGAGTGGAAACCACTTGCAATCCTATGTCTCAGTGACTCGCATCCAGATCACAAAACAAAAGTGCCATAAAGACAGGCATTCATTCAACTCAGGGTTTCGGGAAAGTCCTTCACCAGAGAGCACACGCAAACAGGCAATTGGCATATGAGAAAATACTCAAGTATTGCAGACTGACACTAGGCTTAGAGCTCTCCACACCCACCACTTCTAAAATGAGAGACACAAAGTCAGTGCTGGTGAGGACGTGGTCTGAAACGCCTGACCCTGCCGTGCACTAAATGACACCATCATAGGAAAGCTACGATCTACAGCAGAACACACGCCCCTGCCCTCGACTGCTCACGCCTCAGAAACTGATACCACCAACAGTCAAATGCTAGACACGTACCCAAATGTACAGCAATGAATGATACAATGGATAAGATATGGTAGATCCACACAACAGTATTCATTTCAAGTATGTGCAACAAAAATTGACCCCCCCAAAAAAAAGAAACAATGATGAGAACCAAACACACGAGAGCACACGGTACATGACTCTATTCACATTGCATAAAAAATGTAACTACCCTCCAGGCAGTGGTGGCATACACCTTTAATCTCAGCACTCAGGGAGGCAGAGGCAGGAGAGTCTACAGAGAAACCCTGTCTCAAAAAACAAGCTAAAACTAAAACTATCCGATGGAAGTCTAGGCAAATCTTCTGGGGAGAGCGGTGGCTGGGCTCCGTTAAAAGTCGGGTGCTGTTTCACACTGTCTGGCTTCCAAGAATTCAGGCTACTCCCTTGGATATGCGTATGCCCAGGGTGTGCACTAAGGTCCTTTACAAAAGGTCACAGTAGCTTTTTCATGTACTGGAGAATGCAACAGCTGGTCTGACAGCAAGGTCACAGGAGCCAGCATGCCACCACGGGGGTGGAGCGGTGGCTGACCAAGTCACTAGGGCTGCAAATCTAGGTCATAGGTGACAGTGCTGAGCCATCACACACATTAAAGCCCCTTCTTCTGAAGCCTGGGATTACATTTCTTTACCGTTTAAGCCAGTTCAACCTGTTACCTGGACAGAAAACAGCCTTGCAGGCACCAAGTCTCTCCCCTCAGGTGTTTCTGTACCTGCTGCATCCTCACAGTTCTCAACTCTAAGCAACCACCTTCTGCTCAAAGCCTCCACCGAGAGAGCCCTCTGGTTACAGAATGTTATTGACTGAGAAATAAAAGGAGCTTGGGATAAAGATATCCTTTATTAGAAAAACACCAGCCAAACACAACCAAGAGTGTACCAGGGGCAGCAAGGCAGGCAGGCCAGAGGAAAGGGCTCTCATGTGCCTTGCAGCCCCTTAAAACCCTATTAGGCCTCATCCTGACCTCACCTTGACCACGCCCTGACAGGCATGGTCAGGCACACCTGTAGCCAGCTTCTAGCAGGCGTGGTTTACACTGTCCCCTACAGAATGTAGGCCATATTGCTAAGCCCAGGTCCTCTCACACATGGTGGCGCCAGACACCTGTTCTCTCCCTCACTTCTTCCCATACAACTGTTTCTGGCCTCTCTGGACACCCGGAAGTAGTCTCCAGGCCAGGATTCACCCTTCTCTGTTAGATACTTGAGGTTCATCTTGGCTCCTCTTTTAGGCTGTGCTCTCATAAAGGGCTTTGAGGAAGCCTCAAAAAGCTCACTCTGCAAGCTAACCCTACATCAGTTCAATGACTCCAATATGCAGGCAAGGGTGAAACCTACTTTCCTACACAGTATCAACTACTCTTCAAGCTTCTCAGTCACCTGTCCCATACATGTCATCTACTCTTTTTAGTTCTAGACCCGAACAATTCATGAATTCATGTCTACACAATATTCCAATTTGGATGCTTCCCAGCCATTTCCACTGTGTGTGTTTTTTGTGTATCATATATGCACATATATAATCAGATGTAAATAACAGTGTGTGTATATATGCTCACATACATTTATAAATACAAAACACTGTACACATATATTGAATGGAAATTATATATATATTATATATGTACATATGTGTGTGTGTGTGTGTGTGTGTGTGTGTGTGTGTCAGATTCCACCTCCTACAAATTTGCTATCCCCCCTCCCCTGCCCCCGCCAGTGAGTGGCCCAGATTTCAAATATCTGCCACAAACCACAGTGGTAGGACAAACCACAGTGTCCTACCTCAAATCCCAGCACTAAGCCATTCCTGTCAACCTCACCTCTGAAGATCGTGACTCCTTTGTCTTTTCGAGGTCAACTCTCACTGCCTTGCTGCAGCGCCTTCAAAGTCATTTTCTGTCGCCAGAATAAGCTTTTAAAGGTACTTTTAAAGGTACGCAGGGACTGCGTCTATTTTTGCTCATTTCTGGCATCAGCTATAGCTAGAACCCTGTATTACTTACTGAATCATGGTTGAATGGTATTACCATAGCGGTACCATGACAGACTGTCACTTTGTTATAGGGGCATATATTATCAATAACCCATTTGGTGACACATGAATGTTAAGTTAAACTAGACCTCTTAGCCTGTGGTCACATCTTACAGCTGGAGCAAGGCGAACAAGTAGGTTACGTGCTGCCCACCTAGCCAGCTGCAGTCAAGAGAGTGGGGCTGACACTGGGCAATAGAAATGCAAGTCTGTGACAGTGGGAAGTCCAAGTGTTCCAGCTTATTATAGTTACCACAAAAGCATGTTTATGTCCCCAGGCAAGCCACAATCTAACACTTTACATATAATACTGTTTTTTTTATTTATTTATTACTCTGGGACCTTAATACAGAGAGAACATCAGATTACCTTTTCCTCCAGATTTACAGTTCACAGGCCCTGCTGCCTGATTCTGCCCGTGACTGTGAATGACTTAGTAATGAGCCATTTAACAATGAGACTTGAGGCTCCCAGTGCGAATGTCTGCAACAGTGAGGGAGGTGGTGTTTGGTCAGGGTTAGCTTATGCTCCACACTCATCTCCTTTTTTTTTTTTTAAACAGGATTTTTCTGTAGCTTTGGAGCCTATCCTGGAACTCACTCTGTAGACCAGGCTGGCCTCGAACTCACAGAGATCTGCCTGCCTCTGCCTCCTGAGTGCTGAGATTAAAGGCGTGCGCCACCACCACCTGGGTCCACACCCATCTCTTAACTGATTCTGGACAGGGCAAGGAAGGAGATGCTACTTACTGATGTACACAGTGAAGTATACAAACACTTTGCTAGCTGTCCAGGAACCTCCCCCTTGTATTATCAATCATTACTTTTAAAGCCAGACTAGATTTAAAAAGAAACAAAGAAC